GTGGGGGAACAGTAGTAGCAAAAGACAGCAGCAGACACGGGTGCAAAAATCGCTCCTCCTGCTTACACGCCGCTGTTGTTTCGTTCTTTTTCTCAAGCAAACATGCCGACTTTGATCACGGGAAGAAAAAAAAAAAGAGAAAAAAAAACGACCGCACTCAACAGTCCCAGGGCGAGATGTTCATCCACGCGTCCGCGGCAAGAAGAAGGACGATGGGGTGGTCGGGCCACCCCTCCTCCTCCGACCGGGCAGCGGCATCCGCCATGGCCTCCGCGTAGGCCTGGTTGAGCGATGCCGGGAGACCGTCGACGAAGTGGGACTCGTACTCCTGCGGGTGCAAATGCGGCCGCGCATTCGTGTGTTCTTTGTGTTGACTCTTGAAAAAAAAAAAAAGGGCAAGCACACATAACAGTCAAAAGAGAGGCTATGGTCCGTTCTAGATATAACCACAGTATTCAAAGGAAGGAATCGACCTCCCTAACCCGGCCTGATGAACAGGGTGGCGGACCTGCATCCGGTGTTGCCTTCGCGAGAGACTAATGGACACAGCTAGGTCTTCAGTTTTGCGTGCGAGCAACGGGACAAAAAGGCAAAGCGAAAGAAACATGTTTTCTAGTCCCCCATCCCCCCACGTGCGTGTTTTCGTGAGCAGGCAATGCGCGACGAGCATGGTAGACACGGTCGACACGAAGAGAGCACCGACGAAGGAATCGCGATGTTGTAGCTCCCGCATCGTGCGCGCGAGTACGTTGCCAGACAGACTCGAACAAACAAAGGTCGCCCGAACAAAGTTCAACGTGAGACTCGTAGATGCGTGTGCGCCAAAACACACATTCATTCTGCAATGCACTGTCTTGCCACGTATCTACCGTGGGAAAGAATTTTGACACGACTTTATCCAGTTCACACCCGGGGCACCGTCAAATCTAAACTTGAGGTCTACCCAGCAAGGTGGTGTATCTTTGCGTGGAGAATGTCATCCATCCCCAATGTGTGCGGTATTTGGACACTCTCGATTTCTCGAATGCTGTTGCCTCTCCTTTCGCTTGCTGTACCTCAAGGGTGGCGACAAACTTGAGAGAGAGGGCGGACACCAGCGCCAGGTCTCGTCTACGCATTGCCGTCGAAGAAGAAGGAGACGGCCGCGTAGAACTTTCGCCCCCCCCTCGTCTGCTATCCGGTGCATCCTCCTCGTCCCCCGAACCGTGCGCCGACGTAGCAGCACCCGCGTCCTCCTCCTCCTCCTCCTCCTCTTCCCCCCCTTCTTCTCCGCCTCTGCTTCTTTCGGCCTCGCTCTCCGCCGAGAGAAGCAGCGCCTTCGCTCGCTGCACAGCCTGAAACGCGAGCGGCTCGTTGGCAAGGAACCAGGGCTCGAGGGACATCACCAGCGCGTCGTTGAGGTTCTGGCCGTAGGCCAGGGCGAGGCCCCACTCGCACATGGCGCACGCCGGGTCCTCGTCGAGGGCGGCGAGCTGGCTCTCGGCGGCGTAGTCGAACTTGAAGGTGGACGTGAAGCGCAGGCCCTGGTTGAAGTAGCTACGTGTTTGCGTGTGTGGCAAGTAGCGCGCGTTGGAAGTGGAGAAGGTGCTCGGCAGGAGAGTTTAATAGTTGCGAAGAAGGAGCAATATTGTGTTGTTGCTGCGATGCATAACAGCGTTGGCACGCCCCCTGTTAGCAGCAAGCCTACTTGCGACGGAGGATGGTGGGGGCGAGCGGCATGGGGCCGAACCTCATCCTGCAGGCATCCAACACCCACAGAGAAAATAACCCGACACAGCTACTGCGCACGGTTTGTCTATGGGGGTTAAGTCGTCCTTTAGCAACGGTGCTACCTCAGTACTACCATTCATGTTCCGACTGCTGCTGTAGATAACGGCCCGCCAACTGATACCATGTGAACTAATCACCCGACGGAGTGTTGCGCTGACAACTTACCGAGGAATTTACGGGAAAACTTCGTGCGTCAGGTCTTGATATTCCACCCACACGTACAACAGCAGTGCCAACGCACGTGAGTTGACTTGGCAAATCCAACAATGATGAGGTTTAGATGGGAGTGAGTGAGCTGCAAAAAAACAACAGGTGCGCGTGTGCGTGTCGTGGGAGTTGCGGGACTACAGATAGCGCCCGCACTTGAGAACTTGGCAGTTAAGAAATCGAGACTCGCAAAAATCAGGAGCTAAGAACTTGAGCACCATTTGTGAGCTCGGTTAAGAACCCCACACTAAAACCTATATGGCGGCCATTTGTAGCCCATTAGAGGATGATCAGCAACATAAGAACCCCAGCCTCGGCCGAAACGAGAGGTTCTAAGTGCGGGCGCCATCTGTAAACGTCAAAGGCGAACTCCGCCGCGTTGTTCATTCCAAGAATGAACAAAAGTGCCGAGTGTGTATTCCTTTCTCAGCGCGCTACCGTGGCCTGTGCAACCCGATCGAACAATTCGGACGAATTGAGACACACACCACTTTCGGTACTTTGGTGCGGTGGCTCTCATTGATGCCATGACCAAGAGATGGGCAAGAGACGAGAGCAAAACTGAACCTTAAGACCAACGAAAAGTCTACGCAATAGAGCCAGTCGTTGTTGTAGCCGTTAGGTAAAACGAAAATGCAAAAACAACCTACATGTACAGCCGTACCGCAAAGCACCTCTCCACGCTGGACCAATGCATGCGTACCGTGCGAAGGGTTTATTTACATCGCTACGGACATGTGAACCATGCTAGCATCCGCACGTTCTCGAGGAAAAATAGTACGTCGGACACACGAGATGTGTCGCACGCATTTGTGCGTTAAATTTATTACCTCTGTATCATCAAAGTCAACAGTCCCATGCACACAAACCACCTGCTGTCCCACTCCTCACATCTAGATCTCCCCTTTCTCTTACACTCACCGCCGGGCAAGGCTGGACGAGGTATCGATAGCCATGGACATGTTACCCAGGTCGTTCCGCAGCGGTATCCCAGCAGCGACGCCGGCTGCAAGGGCTAGCGTGGTGCCCACGAGCAAAGTCACCATCTGTCGGAGAGTTAACACCTTCTCGGGAGGTTTCGTCCAATGAAGACACCTCTTGTTGCAGATTCCTGCGACTGCACTCTCGTAGCCTTCGGCTAGCTATAGAAAGTAGCCCTTGGGGTAAAGTGGGGCGGCGTGTCGTGGGAGGTCTGTGAAGACTGGTGCTGTGTGTCGTGCGTGGTATCGTGTGTATCCACGAAGAACGGGACGGAGCCCAGAGCCTTGACGGGGAATTATGAGCCGGGGAGGATATCACTTCCATCCGATAAATCGAGAAGAGGCGTTTTGTGCATCTCCCTTCTGGAACAAGACCGAGAGAACAGGCTTGTTGCTGCGTTGCTGACTAACTCCACCGTCTGCATACACGAATACGCACGCCTACAGCTACCACAGAGGTTGCCCAGTATGCGTGATCCGCACCCCTTGGCTATCATCCCGCTGCAGAAAGACCTACTGCTGTCGGTAGAGACCTCGAGCAACAGTAGCGATGGAAACAGCCCGCGTGCGGGGGGAGATGGGCATGGGGATCAAGAGGTTGGGATGGCCATTAGAACCTTGGTTCCCCACAGGGGCAGCACCAGCAGCACCAGCAGCAGCGGTCCGGTGGTGACTGCCGCCGCGGAGCGAGGCGAGTCGCCTCTCCGGTCAGAGGACGACACGGCGCTGATGAGGAGCCTCATCAGCTTGATGCCGCACGAACGGGCGGACAGCCAGGTCTGAGGGGCATTCTAATTTTTGCATTTTTGCTCTTGCTTGCATTGCTTGATCTTGCCGCTACTGCTGCTGCTGCCGGCTTTGTACTATTATAGTCTAGTGTTGATAGCGGCAGCGGCCTCTCTACTGCAAGCTTCAGGGTAGCTAGAGCACGTTTGCCTCACAGGAGGAGTTGACAGTATGAAGTGGTGCACATCGAGAGCGAACAAAGAGTCCGTTGAAATATGCAGCCTCCTGCGACTTTTCCGCAGCAGCATGTCTGCTGCTTTTGCTATCGAATGTAAGAGGCTTGACACATGCTCCTCAACGTCAACCCGATTGTTTCGAAACCGGGCATGGTCGCCCGCTGCACGTTGCAGCAGCGCGTTACGTCATGACGGCGAAAACATGGCTTACCTGTGATGCTGCGAGTACAGCGTGCAGCAGTGATTGTGAAAATACTAGCAAGGCACCACTCTGTACGACACCTAGCGTTGTTTGCTGTGATGGCCAACATCTTTGTAAAGCACAGGTTGTAGGTACAGCAGTGGAGCTACAGTAGTACAGAGTCGCGTCTTCCGTGCAGATAGTTAACGGGCGCGTACGCACAAAGCCACCAAAGAAATTCCATTAAGGCGCCTGCTTTTGTGAACCCCCTCCCCCCCCCTCCCACCCACCGGTGGTTGNGCTACAGTAGTACAGAGTCGCGTCTTCCGTGCAGATAGTTAACGGGCGCGTACGCACAAAGCCACCAAAGAAATTCCATTAAGGCGCCTGCTTTTGTGAACCCCCTCCCCCCTCCTCCCACCCACCGGTGGTTGCCATCGGGGTTGGGTTTTCATCGCTTGGCAACGACGTCGTAAAACAAGCCCCCCCCTCGGTGTTCGCCATCGGGATTGGTTTTTAGTCGCTTGGCAACGACATTGCAAAACAAACCAGTTCACTTCGTGAAGTCAGCAAACAGGTAACCGTTTGTTTGTTTTACCTGTTTTTTTTTTTTTGCGGTAACCATCATAGTGGTCGAGTACATCACGTTGCGCGGGGTCGAGAACCCTCACTCCGCGCAAGGGGGATGATCGTATCACGTTGTGTTAAAATGGTCAAGCATCCTCGAGGCAGTTATGCAGTGCTTATAGAACTGTCTCTGGAAGTTAAAGCACCAGAAAATACATGAAGTCATACGCAGCTGTCATCCATACGCAAGGAAGTAAGCACAAGATGCCGAACACCCTTAGCAGGATGTAGCGCACCCTTCATGCGACTCGCCGAATACCTCANCCCCCCCCCGTTCGCGACCCCCCGCCGCTGCCATGGCGAACGCCTACAAGAACAGTTCAGCGTTACTTCCCCAGTACGAAGGTCAGACAGGTCGTCGGACCGGGCGGTGAGACACTCGTCATGGTTCAGGAGAGGTCGTCCAAACACCTCCGCCCTAGACCCCGGCGGCAAGGCGGACGACGATTGCGGCTCAGACGACGGAGGCGAAGGAAAAGGAGAAGGAGGAAGAGGAGGAGGGCGGCGTCGCAGCAGCAACGGCAGCAGCAGCACAGGCGGTGGTAGAGGCGGGCTGGACTTTCTGGGGACAACGGAGTCCGTCAGGGAGCTCTTCCACCTACCGTTTACGAGCGAGGCTGTGTCCGTGGGCTTGCACAGGGTGGGTCAGACCCTGATCCTTGACGGCAACCTTGACCAGGTGCTTGCCCCCGCGGCCGCAGCCGCCGCCGCCGCCGCCGCCACCGCCACCGCCGACAAGGCTCCGGTGTCGGCGCCGCCTGCGCCGCCGCCGGCATCGTCTTCCTCCAACCCTGTTGGTGGCGGCATCTGCAGCAGCAGCAGCAACGACAACAATGACACGGTGGTGGGGGGTGGAGAAGAGGAAGGCCGTTGGGTGATGGTGGGCAGAGGGGGCAAGCCGAGGCAACCGGAAGGGGACGGAGGGGAGCAGGGGTGGCGGCGATACGACCACGAGGAGGGTGGCGGTCATTCTGCTGGCGATTCAACCGCGCCATCGGGAGCCCCCGAAGGCGAACGGCGGGTCAATAGAGCAGGGGCTGCTGTAAGAAGAGGACAGAGATCGTCATTGCCGGCAGCAGCAGCAGTGCAAGCGAGGAAGAACGCCGGCAAGGGGTGGGAATCAGGATCGAGAGGACGGAGTCGAAGCGGCGGTGGTACCAGCACCGGCGCCGGGGGGCGCAGCAGAGAGGGCTTGACCCCGTCCTCGTCTTCCGCTGGACGCGAGTCGTCGACTACCGCTAGGGGCCAGGAGGAGGAGGAGTGGTCGGTCACAGACCAAGGGAACTGGCCGGCTCTGGGGGCGCCCGATGCCGCCGCCACCGCCGCTAGCTCGAGCGGGGAAGACGCCGCGCTGGTCGTGCCCGGCGACCCCAGCAGCGGCCGTGGCGGCGGCGGGGGCATCCTGTCCCTCGTGCCCAGCCGGCCGCGGGCACAGTCGTTCGGGGTGCGCCCGCCGGAGCCGGTTGGGTTCTGGCGCTCGTTCGAGTGGGAGCTGGCCGGGATGCACCTGGTGCTGGGCAGCAGCTTGCCGGTGTGCAGCACCGCGGAGCACCCCCAGGTTTCGGTCCGGCTGCACGACGGCGACGAGGACCTGAGCCTGTGCACCTGCCTGGACTACTACCTGGACAACGTCATGGAGAACGTACCGGAGCTGGCGCTCTGCATGCGCGAGAAGGGCTACATACAGGTAGGTGCTGCGCGATCTTGCGCTTGCGGGGGAGTTGTGTAAGCCTTGTTCACCGTGTTTGGCGGCGCGATTGCGGCCGGTTGGCGGGATTGTCTTGCGCCTTATATGTCGTTTCGTTTGTGATTTTGTTATGTTCGTCATTCCGACAAAGCGCAACATTCGCAAGGCAATGCAGCCCACACAGCCGAGACGCGCAGGTGGTCTGAGAAAGGAGCTTGCCTCAATTACTATTGTCGGGTTAGACCTCCAAGTGCAGTGCAACCCGAAGCGTGTTCGTCCCCACCTTTTTTTCCATGTCCCGCTGCCCTCTACTGTGGGTGTCTGTTCTTGTCCTTCAAACGTCCTGTTCGGTGGATGGGTTTGCGCGGGGTTTCTGCTCACTCTGTCGCCCTGTCTCTGTCTCTCTTTGTGTATTTTCTCCCTCTCGCACTTTGTATATGTCTCTATCCGTCTCTCCCTCTGTTTTGGTCTCTTTCTTTATGCCTCTCTCTCCCCCCCCCCC